TTTTTTAAAAACTAACGAAGCACACTGTCCATCATCCCCATTTTTTTCATTTGCTCATTTCTATTCTGAAAAATTCAACCGTCCGAAAATGCACCTTAATTTTGACTCTAAAAACACGTCACATTTCCAACACTAATTATTTAAAACCGGTCGGAATTTGGGAGTTTTTACGGTAGTTTCAAATAAAAACAAACACGAATGCATTGCTTAGTTTGTAGCAAACAATCACAGTCTGGTCATGCCGTGTTTCACACTTTTGACATGTTTACATTGGAGCTGGAATTCATTTCATACATTGAGAATTTCTACACAATCATTATGCAATCAAGAACATTTCTCTTGTCAGTATATTTATCAATATCTTCAATTATTATGACACAATGTCCAGTTTCAATGTTTGTACATTATCAATTGGAGTGAGATTAAAAACATCAATGCAAGAAAAAAAGTGTTGAAGATTTTGGACAGTGTTCCACAAAATTTTGTAGTAAAATTGACAGTAATAGAATGTCACCAGTGTTTGGTAAGTATATATTAGGTGTACCTAGTTCTTGTAGTTCATCTTTAGTGGAGGTTGGTGATCCAGTGTGATTTTCAATCATTGTCTGAATGGGAGTGGTTGTCTGTGGTTCTTCTACTGGCTGTTGCTGTTGCTGCTGCTGCTGCTGTGGTGGTGAAGGAGGTGATGGCTGAATTTCAGGTGACAATGGAGTCATTGGTGATGTTGGAGCTGCTTGAGTTACATTTTCTAAGTTTTCCACAATGTCTTCTACTTCCGGTTTCATCACAGCCTGGATTGGTTGTGGAATTTCTTCCACAGTGCCATTACTATAACAAATAAATGTAAAGATGAAATTTAGTGAGAGTCTTGATTGCTTATGCATGAATGGCAGCAGAATGTGGAACAAAGGCAGCAACCAGGCAGCTATGCACTTGCAAACGACCAGCGCAGCCGACGTACCATCACAGACATTGCTGATCACCAAGAAGTCCACACGAATGCTTGCTTGAACATGTAAATGTTTATATTTAAATGTCACTATTAAAAGTTGAATTTTCTTTAAATCACGATTTAAAAACCCCGTTAAAAAAAGGCCATGCTTTCAACTCGCATCATAAGTGGAGGAAATAAATTTACTTGTTCTTTTGGAACAAATATTCCGATTGGTTGTTTTTCGGGTCATTGCGTGGCTTTGGCCAATCAAAAGCATCGTTACATAGTATCAGGGTGCACACAGTAAAATGAACCGTTTCCGGGTCATAGCTGTTTTCAAAGAAGCAGACATCAAACTTTCGATTCGAATGAAAATTATTCTTTTAAGTATGTACTTTGTTTTTTTATACCTAATTCTATTATTTTTGATAGTAACTGTTAACTGCAGATCGAAAATCTTCTATTGTGTACATTTTATTTCGTTTGATCACCTTCGTTTTTGGTGCCATTCATGCAAGTTTTTTAATGAACCAATTACGAACGTTTGTGCGACATACATTTTATTTTGCTTCGTCCAAATAAATATAAATCATAAATATAAATTTTTGCTAAAAATTAAATAAAGCATGTATGTATCTATTTGGGAAAATAAATTAACAAACGTGTTACGTCTTTTTCTGGACACAATCATTACTTGTAAACAACTGATGTCGCCGCTTGAGGAATCGTGCAGCTAAAATCAGCTGATTGTATGTGCTGACGTTTACTTAATAGCTCTTCAAAATTCCTATTCATTTTGTAATTATAAATATATATTATGCATATGTAATAATATGTAGATTAATAGATTTTTTGGTTTCCATTTTTCAACATCCTTGCCAATGATGCACGTTACAAATGTGCCACGCCCACTTCACATTGGCGTGCCCTGTTAATTTTCAAACCGTGGAGAACCCAGCTCAGGGAAAAGCATTAATAAAAACAAAATGGCCACCGGTTGGCCATTTTAAATACATCTGTATATCTATGACATAATGTATAATGAATATAAAATTAGAACATAATCAGTCAAAGAATATCATTTATATGGCACTAAAACTCTATTTTTTTTATGTTTGTCAGCACAAAAATGGCCGCCATTCAGCCATCTTAAATCAGATCATGGAACAAATTGATGTGCATATGTATAATATGTATGATGTATGTTTGCAGTTTGAATGTAATCAGTCCAGGCATGTCTAAAATATAGATCGCACAGAGGTCAACTCATAAGTCCCAGTTTTTAGGCTAGATATATAATTAACTTTATACAGTATTTAACAAAATTGCCAAACATTACCAAAAGTGTTTAGTTGTCCTCTAGGAACATTATGGTAGCAAAATTGATGTACACCCTGACAAAACACAGGTCATCCAAAAAAAAGTAGTTTGGTTATGGCTGCTAAAGAGACGACGCCCACTTGATTTTATCACCGAAATTGTTCAACCATGAGGTTCATAAGATCATTTTTTACCTAAAAATCATTTTGCGCTGTCAGTGACACTTAGCGAGTTTCTGCAATCAACTTAAAGGGAAATGTTCAAATATAACATTAATAATTATGAACACCTTTCATGTTTGACTTGGGAAGAAAATGGAATCAATGCAGGAAAACACTTACGTAACCGATGAAGAATGATAGAATGAGGCAATGGCTGGATCCCGCATATCATCAACAGCGTTTGGAGGACTTTCTGACCTCTCATCTTCTACTTCACCCTCAGATTCTACAAAAAAATAATTAACAAAAGTTTATAATAGACATTTATTAAATTACTCAACCCAACAGTGTACCTTAATAGTTTTACTAGTCAACTAAACTACCAAACTGAGAATACCAAACTTGCTTTATTTTATTAGTAATGCACGTAAATAACATGCACACAATAAATAGAAACTTTTGTTTATGTGTGCCACTTGTCAATGCGCCTTTGAATTTTACTGTGTTTTTTGTGCCTGTAGCCAACAATATTGTTAGCTACTTGGCTTTCAGGAAGTCTGTAGATCGTAGATTCTTATCAACACTGATTGCAAGAGAACAGTTTTGTCAGCCAATTAGCTGACAATAGGTTTTAACAAGCAGCCTCTCGACTGAGATAGCTCCGCTGTTAGCAATGCACATTCCAATTAAAGAACAGAAGATATCATTAGAAAATGAACAATATGTATAGTATCAAAGCAATGGGACTTGCTGTTTTCAACAAGAATTCCAAAATATCATTTTTCATCATAAATGATTGTGGTTTTTAACAAGAAGGAAATATCACTTTACCAAAAATAATAAAAATATTCATCAAAATTAGAGAATTTAAAATATCATGAAATAAACAAATCTGAGAGAGGTCCACATGTAGTACCTATATATGTAATATCAAAGCAATTGGACTTGCAATTTTTCACAAGAAGTCGAAAATATCACTTTTTACCAAAAATGACAAAAATATTCACCAAAATTAGAGAATTGAAGATATCATCATGAAATGAACAAACCTAAGAGAGGTCTACCCAAGGTACATATACACCAAGTATCAAAACATTCAGGCATGTAGTTTTCAAGAAGAAGTCGAAAAAGTAAAACATTGACACTGACGACGACGACGACGGACAATCACTCATATGATAAGCTCCGCTCGACAAAGTCGACGGCGGAGCTAATAAAATCAGCCTTGGCAAGCATAAACAATTGGCGATATCTTAAGTGTATTTCTTGGTTGTAACTTGCACTCTAGATTAAACAACTCACCAACTGGTGATGCATCAAGGTTATCAGTTTCCTCATCATCATTGAACACTTCATCTTGATATCTAAAGATGTCATTATGCACATAATACTTTTTAGGAGACTGCGGTGCCAGTACAAATGTCTGCATAAATCGTCTCATTGGTTGTCCGTTGTTAGAAAGTTCACCAGTGACCTGCACAACAACTCCATCACCCAATGTTGCATGACTATCAACTTGTCGAATCTTAGCATGACAATCACGGAAGTTGAGTGACATTATCTTTTTGTGAATAGCCTGCAAAAAATAAACATCAATATTTGTATTCATTTACTCCCATCACATATTCACATCACAAACAACCACACTTGATGTCTTACCAGTGTGTACATGATGCATTGTTCGACAGCAGTGGTATGGTTGATAAAGCATTTTTAAAACAATGTAAACATTGACATTTGGATTAAACTAATACAATCTTGAAACATAAGGGGTGCTGTCAACTGTAAATGCATTACAATATGACAAGAGACAAGACTTGATAAACCATTCACAGTCAAGGCAGTCTTCTCCACCAGGGGTTTTAACAGGGTGCCGCGCCCCGTTATCTGAAATTGGCGCCCTGTTTAAATTGTCAGCGCCCTGTTATATTTCCTGTGCACCCTTCTGCATGGTCCCAGATAAAGAATTGTTTACAAAACAGGCCAACACTCATTGTCTACCGAAATGATTCATCGTGCTCAGGGTAACTGGTTCGTTGTTTTAAGGTGCAATTGTGAAAATTCCGGCTTGTTATCGTAGCAGATCACCGTGAGGTGATAACACGATTAAAAATGAACATGTGGCCTAGAAAAGTGCATTACCGTACCCACATTTTTACTGCCAGGGTCAAATATATATATCAAAGAAAGCTTAGAAAGAACTCCCGTGTGCTGAGGGAATAGGGATCATGATGTAATATTCGGGAATATTTGAAAATGATAAACAAATTATGAATAATCTATTAAATAAGGAGCCACCAGTAGTCATCTACACACATAGACATTGTATACCTACAATAAGCCTACTTAAAAATATGCATAAAAAATTGCAACATTAAAAAGAAAACTGAAATAATTCATAAAACATTGGGGAAAATGAAATGCAATGAAAATAGTAAACAAATAAATGCCCAAAATAAACTTATAGGGAATTTAAAAATATTTTAGAAATTTAGTTAACACGGAAAACGTGAAGTAGCAAGAACAACTATGTAAATTTCTGACAAACAATCACCATCTAAATATCTAAAATTCAAACCACTATCTTAATATCAATATGTGTGTCAATAAATATTATATTTATTTATTTTCAGTTACGTATATTAATAAGGAAGGCATCACAATCTTTTTGATTGGTTTGTGAATCCCGAAAATCGACATGGTAAAAATTACAACCATCGTACAGCTCAGTACCATAACAAATATTAATTTACGGCAGACGTACTTCTCGGTACATAAAATTCAAAGTAATCCCCATCGCGTCTCATTTGTTACTGCGTATAAATTGACACTATCTGGGGCAC